TCTATATTATTATCGGGACAAGGGGTGCTTTCTACTAGCAAGGGAATAAGTTGAGCGGAGTAGGTTCCTGCTACCTGTTGTGTTTTCACCTTTTTGACGTCGGGTTTCCGTGTTGTGTTAAATCGGATCGTTGCTGCCACATTTAGACGAGTGCGAACCTTGGCTGCCACAAGTTAATGGTCCGAATCGATATTCGCTCCTCAGATAGATCGAACGTCTAAAACACTGAATAAATGCCTTTCCTCTAACACAACATGATCAATTTAATTTCTCGTTGCTTGATCAGTAGAAATCCATGTTGGCCTTGTGTATATCCAGATGCTTGAATCTGGTGCTGTTAACTACCAAGTTTTTTTCCTGCCGCGAAGTCAATCAACCTCATGCCGTTGTCTGATGTTTCTTCATGGAGGCTGAATTTTCCGAATGTGGGGTCTAAAATATTTTCCCTTCCGATTTTTGCATTAAAATCTCCTAGTAGAATTTTATCGTCATCGCCAGGGCAGCGGTCAAATGTAGCTTCTAGGCGCTCGTAAAAAATGTGTTTGTTCATCTTTGTCTTCCGTCGGAGCATGGGCACAAATAAGACTAATGTTGAAGAACTTCGATGTAAAATGAATTATAGCAGTTCACTCATCTACTGGAGTGAATCTGAAGACGAGGCTTTTTATTCTCCTGTTAACCATAAATTCGCAGACAAATTCATGTCTCGTTTCATGGCAGCTATAATACAGGCGTAATCATCTGATTTCTCAACTGCATCAGTGTACATACAATTTAATCCTGTTTGATATGCCTGTTGATATAGAAGCCCTACTTTGTACCTCTGGTCCTATTTTTCGATAGATCTTCTCATGTAAATGATACCACAGAGTCGCGAAGAGACATCTTGTGGGTGGCATTTTAGCAGAATTAAATGTACTTAGTTGTAAAAATTATCTGTTATTTATCAAAATTTATCAATTTCTAAGAACCCCACATTTGGCGCCAGTTTTTCGTTTCAATAATATAGATTAAAAAAAATATAATAGATTAAAAAAATTTGGACATACACTTGAATAAAAAAAACATTCCTCAAAAATATAAGCAAATTAATGAACATATTTCATATGTGGATTTTTAGGAATTGTACGTTGGGCGCCATTATTCGTTTTAGGTAAATTTTTTGTTAAACAGCAAATTATTAGAATATTGCATTATAAAATAGCCTCATATTAAATGGAGATTAAATTAAACCCCTCGTTGGGCGACATTTTCAAACATCGTACTACAACTAACTCCTGTAGAGGTTAAAAAAATAAAAATAGTTATCTTCCTACAGATATATTCTATTAGATGGGCTCCAATTTTTTTATGAAATAAGATTTCCAAAATTAAACAAGAACCTCCCGAAATTTTAGTAAAATTAAAATGGCGTCCAATCTTAACAAGTGGCCAAATATCGCAAATAATAAAACTATGTACAATACTAAAAATAATTCAACCAACTATACCAAAATTGATGATATTCTAGAGAACAAAACCAATGTGAAAAATATCGGATCAAAATGGAGTCTGACGGAAAATATACATTTGTACCCATTCAAATATAGCGCTGTAATTCAGCGATCTTTGTTCGTTTATATGGTTGAACTCTAGATAACTTGCAGATCGTATGGTCTCGAACCGACGACAGATCTTTCAAATGTCTGCCCTTTCAAGTTTTGATGGTAGTATCTATGATTACCATGGTTGCCCGGGCCCCCAGGGCCGCCCCCCTGCGTACGTCCCTGATGCATAGGTATTTGTATTTATGTATTTTTGTGCATGGTTTTTAGATCAAGAGGTAATTATTACTAGAAGCAGTTTTGGTGGAATTATTATTACGAAGCGAGAGGTGAAATTCTTGGACCGTCGTAAGACTAACTTAAGCGAAAACATTTGCCAAAGATGTTTTCATTAATCAAGAACGAAAGTTAGAGGTTCGAAGGCGATCAGTTACCGCCGTAGTTCTAACCATAAGCGATGCCAGCTAGCAATTGGGTGTAGCTAATTTTATGGCTCTCTCAGACGCTTCCCTGGAAACCAAAGTTTTTGGGCTACGGGGGAAGAATGGTCACATGCCCTTAGATGTCCTGGGCTGCATGCGCGCTATAATGAAAGTATCAACGTGTATTTCCTAGACCAAGAGGTCCGGGTAAACCGCTGAACCACTTTCATGGAATTGGAATTCCCAGTAAGTATGAGTCATTAACTCGCATTGATGCGATTTTTGTTTTAAATTAGTCTATACGGATCTGATTTAGACGTAATTCTGTTTCAGACAATTTGGAGTTCACATACAAAAATCGGTTCATCCGTCTGTCTGGCCAGCTGGTGAACACGATAACTCTCGAAGCTAGTTCATTTAAACTTTGTACATTTCATTTAAACTTTGTACATCGTAATATTTCTACTTAACTTAAACCAAGTTCGAAGAGGGGAAATGTCGGTTCACTCCTTCAGGTACCTCCGCCACAAATGGTCAACAATTTCAATATTTATAATATAATACAATATTAAGCAAATGAATGTAAGTCCGAAGATGGAACCCATCGGTCCACTCCTTCGGATACCTCTCCCATAAAGTGTCAACATTTTGAAAACTTTTAAATTTCATATAAAGCGAATATAGTATTCGATTCGATCCAGTGACTACACATCCAAATATGTTTTCCAAAACCAGATGAAGACCTTTTAGTACATCCCACACAAAGCTCCAAATTTTGAAAATTTGTAATATTATACGATGCGAATGGCTTTGATCCATTGATTGAATATCGTAATATTTTTACCAAACCTAAATTAAATCTCCTGGTACCTTCTCTCATTTGGTCCCTAAGAAGACATTCGGATTTCAGTGAGAAGACTTAGTAATCTCCAATGAAAGATCATAGACTATCCGTAGATTCGTTTTTCTTTCTGTACGATTTTGTTTTCGAACCATTATCTTCAACATGATTTATGTTACTAACCTCAATTTTCGTTTTTGTCTTTAGCTTTTTTTCCACCTACGAAAACAACAACTACAACAAAAAACTGCTCTTTGCCGGTAGTCATGAGTTTTATCTAATATGTGTGGTATATTACTTAAGTTTGTACCCGAATGCGGTGTATGACTTTTATTTATTTTGGGTATTAAGCAAATATTGACATTTATTCTTATCTGCCTCTGCCAACCTCTCGTAAGGTAAGTCATATTTTTTCTTTCATTTTGAAATTTTAATTCGGGGTACTAAATTTTTTTGTTTGTTTTATTTGTTCCCGCTTCAAATATGATTTTGGCATTAAATTATTACTTGGTCATTATCGGCGGAATGGCGGTGTATGGTATGATGGTGTTTGCTGACCGCTTCCATCTGCCCTCTCGTTCACACCATTTGGCTATTATTTTTGAATGCATGGGAATTAGCAGTATTAGTTGGGACATTCATACAAACGTGTGAATGTTTGTATGTTTGTTTTGCATTCGGTATTGCATTGGAAGTGCGAAAAATACTTGAAATTACATAACACACAGATAGATATGTACATAGATAAATAAATAGCTTAAGTATCGTTAGGTTTACTTCATTGAAGAATGTATTCTGCACTTAAAGTGGGTGGCATGGAAGATGGCTAAGCGTTTTGGGGTAATATAAATAGAGCTAATACGAGCTATTAGAATTTATGATATTTTGTGGATCTGTCGGAATAAAAAGAGGATCAAATAGACTTTATACTTTAATTTCTAACAATTAAAAAAGTGTTAGTCTATGGCAAATGTTTGTATACTACAGGCACTTCTCCTGACTTTTGTTTTGGCTCTGGCCAAAGACGAACCTTGGACCAAAAACTTTATTTTTGTCTTTTATGCCTTTTTAGGCCGAAGGATCGTTCATGTATATGTTTTTATTAATTTCTTCTTCGAGATGAGCTACATGATCGAAGTCGCAATGAAAAGGAAAGTCAGAGAGATACTACGTTCCCACCATTATGCGACGCGATTCGCCGTTGGTTAAGCGGCTCATCAGGCATATTGGGCAATGTGGCTTACAAATGTCATCACACCAGAACATTCCTTTTCAGAACAGATTTTTCTTGTAGTGACGGACTTTTTTCCTACAATATTTTTCTTCAAGGTATACAACTGCATATTGTGCAACCTTGGGAAGATTTTTATTGTAACTTCGATCATGTAGCTCATCTCGAAATAGAAATTAATAAGAACACTTATTTTTTTCTGTTTTTCTGAAGTTCCGCTCATGGTTAAGGACGACGACTTTAATATTCGGTAATGATCAGATAATGTTAAGGGAATGAAATGAACAGAAAACGTTATATTTCACAGTCGGTCTAGAGTTCACATTTATAAGCCGAGCATCACATCGTTTCCACATTTCCGATATTCTCTATCATCGAACTTGATTTATCTTTAGAAGAAATATTACGATTTGCAATGTTTTGACTGCTGACCTTTTGTCAGTTAAAGTTGTCCTGCAAAGCTGTATTAATTTTTCAGGAATGCCGAACGTAGACATGGCTTTAAATACCTATGAGCGAATTGGGGTGTCGAATGCGGCTTTATTGTCGACGAATAGGTGAAATGTGTCGATGTGTTTTTCGTGGGCCTTTTCTAGGATTTAGCGCAGTGTGAAAATCTGGTCTATGGTGGATTTGCCTGGTCTGAAGCAACATTGGTACTTTACTTACTTACTTAGCTGGCTTGCGAGAGAAATTTCGTTCCATAAGCCGAGCTTAAAAAAGATTTCCAGGCGCTTCGGTCTTGTGCGATTCTCGGCAATTTGAAAGACCATTATCCGAAATGTTGTCTTCTACTTGCTCTTCCCATCTAATTCGTGGTCTTCCTATTCTGCGTGAACCATCAGATGGTTCGCTTTTACATTTTGTAACCATTTTTGGATGGAGCGTGCTGAGTGCGATGGTGCTGAGTCCTGTTGGAATGTCCATGGTCTGCGGCCAAAATGTTTGCGTGCCCAAGGCTTTAATACACCCTCCAGAATATTTTCGAGATAATATTCGGCATTTATTCTGATGCCACGGTCGATTAATACGAGCGGACACTGGCCATCGGTTGTTATGGAGGCCCACACCATCAACATGGCCGGCGCTTAAATTCTGGTGGCCAACCGAAGGTGCACATTTTCAGCTGACCTCTTTGGCAAGTAAACACCATTATTTTGTTTGTTTACAAACTGCGGGACAACGAATGTTTGCAATGGCTTTACCCCGAGCTCATTTTTCAATATTTCCGAAATGGAATATTGCTATCGGTCGGGCTACGCTAATAGTATCACAGTAACGAGCGATGGTACGAGACACAAAAGATTTATTCACGATGTGGCGTCCAACGATTCCATTTTATTCCATGTTTAGTAACTTTCTAATAGTTTAGTACCTTTTGGTTATTTTTAGAAAACTTATTGTGCGATTTTTAATAAATTCGGCATTATCATACATTAATATTGACCTAGATACCGAATTTGAAGATTCTAGCTTACCAGTTTCTTAATAAAAGAAATGTTCAATACCTTTTCGTACCCTTATTGGGAGGATGGAGGTGCCAACTATAGAGGAATAAGTCTCCTTCCCATCGTCAATGACATTATTGGACCATACCAATGCGGCTTCAGAACTTAAAAATCCACCATTGACCGAATTTTCACTCTGCCCCAAATCCTGGAAAAAGACCCATTAAAAACACATCGACACATTTCCCCTATTCGTCGACTATAAAGCCGCATTCGACAGCCCTATCCGTTCAGAGGTGTTTAAAGCCATGTCTGTGTTTGGCATTCCTGCAAAATTAATTCGGCTATGCAGGATAACTTTAACTGGCACAAGATCAGCAGTTAAAGTCGGAAAGGACCTCTCGGAGCCCTTTAATACCGAACGAGGATTCAGACAACTTTTAAACATCCTGCTTGAAAAGGTCAAACGAGAGGTAAAGTGAACAGAAATGGCACTCTGTACACCAAAAAAACACATGTTACTCGCCTACGCCGATGACATCGACATAATGGGTCGAACATTGAGAGCGGTAACAGACACCTTTGAACAAATTGAGAACTACAGCTTCGAGGTAGTCATAGATTTTTTAGACCTTGGTACCTCCATAAATAAAACCAATGACATCAGTTTTGAAGTTCGGAGAAGGACAGTGTTGGCCAACAGATGCTACTATGATCTGAGTAAGTAACTCAAAAGCAAGGCCACCATCCGCCAGGCCAAACCCACACTCTACAAGACGCTGATACTACCCGTGCTATTACAGTCGACTCCGCTTTACTGAAACGGAAAAAATCTGGATGTTTGTTTCAGTTATCCGATGTTTTCACTTAGCGGAGCGATTTGAACGGAAATTATAATATTTGACTCCAATATATATTTCAGTTATCCGATATTTTCAGTTATGCGAAGTTTCACTTATGCGGTGTAAATTGTGAGCGATTAACCTAAAATGTAATGGTGCAGGAAATCAATTTCACTTATCCGATATTTTTCAGTTAAGCGACTTACAGTAAAGCGGAGTCGACTGGATCTAAAGCATGGATACTTACGCAAGCAGATGAGGCAGCTCTGGGAGTGTTTGAGAGAAAAATTCTCCCAAAAGATCTATTGCCCGATCTGCGTCGACGGTAAATATCGCCGTCGAATGAACCATGACCTGTACCAGCTATTATCGGAAATCGGCGTTGTTAGACGAATTGAGCTCCAGCGACTACGTTGGCAAAGTTATGTTGTGAGAATGGATAATGGCGCCAGGTCAAAAGGCATATAAAAGCGAACCTGCTAAGGGTTCACGCAGAAGAGAAAGGCCACGAATAAGATGGAAAGATCAAGTTGAAGACAACATCTCGGAAAATGATCTTTCAAATTGACCTGACCGACGCGCCTGGAAATATTTTTTAATTAGCACCTTTTGGTTATTTTTCGAAAACTTATTGTGTGATTTTCAATAAATTCGGCATTATTGTACATCAATACTAACCTAGATACAAAGTTTCAAGATTCTAGCTCACCATTTTTCGTGTGTTTCTTAATTATAGATCTATCAGTCAGTCATTTTTAATGCAATTTTGTACTATTCGTATCCTTATTTGGACGATTGCCTTAAATCAAAATCAATTTATAAAAAAATCATCGCTTTCAAACATATGATTTTCCTAATTATGTATTAATTTCAAATTTTTCTTTCGTGATCAATTTCGATCGCCCTGTTCCATTATTCTAATATGGTGCCCCGACGTCTGTCAATTTTCTTTGGATATCAATCCATTTAAAACAGAATTCTAATCAATCATTCAGTTTTTCTTATGGCGGTTATAAAACAATGATCGACGATTGTATAAAACCCGCCAAAATTAATATTGAAAAAAAAAAACAACAAACTTCTAAAACGAAGATTGATAGAGGAGAGGTTCTAAATTTTGTTTACCCATAAATAAGAATAAAACAAAACAGAACAAGAAAATCCACTATCAAATTCCAATTGGGTCATTTGTCATGTGTTTGCTGGTTATAAGAAGAGTACGTATTTTGTAACTGAAAGAGAGAGAGAGAGTGCGAGACAGGCGAGCAGTTCATAAGAGAACGCAGTGTTGTGAACTGAAAGAGTAAACTACCATTTTATTTTCTAATTGGAAATAAGAGTGTACTTGTGCTAACTAACTGCTGTTGTTGTTATTGTTGGGGCTAGCTAGTGTGGCTGGCTGGTTGGGCTGCCTGTGGCTGATAAGAAGACGTGCTAAATACTAAAATTGTTCAACTGAAAACAGACGAGTGCTACCTACCGACGAGGCAGGTTCTACACGCGCTAACACACAATTATTCGTCGGTTATATGAATAGAAACTAGGGAAAGAAAAACAGTAGACTAATATTAACGGAAAATAAATTGTTAAAGGCAAACGTAAGTAACCAAGAAAATTAAAAAACGAATAAAAAACAGTTCAATAAAAAATCAAGTTAGAAACAAATGAAAAATAAAATAAAAAATAACTTCATGAACAAAGTGTATAGTGTGAACGACAAAGTGATAATAATGATGATGATTCCTTGCTGGCAGCAATAACAACAGCAAGGGAAATAAAATTGACGATGAATTGAAACAAGTGTTTCCATCGTGTTTTTGCGATTGAATATTCCCGTTTCAATGAATATCAGTTGGCGATTTTTTTTGCATAAATCACTACAAGCAATCTAAACAGTGTGTGTGCGTGTGTTAAATAAACGTTTTTCTTTTTTTTTGAAATTGAAAGAATTGAAACAGAATAACAACAACTGCCAACAAGTTATTCAAGGTGATTGCCAAAAAAATCAAAGAAGCAAAAATTAAAAAAAAAAATACTACCAGACAGTGGTGGATCGTGTCCGCCGTTACCGTTGTCATAGTTGTTGTTTTTGTGCTGTGCAAAATTGAAACATTTTCAGACACAAAAACAAATTTCAATTTATAATAAAAATACATATCAAAAAAAGACAAGACAAAACAAAAAATCTCAGAACAACAACAACAGCAAATAAGTACAAATCATCTAAAAGTAAAACAACAAAAACAAAACAAACAAGTGCCAAAAAATGTTTTTCGCATTGAGGGAAAACAACGTGTGTTCGACAAAAAGAAAATCATGACAAAAATAAAGATCGGCTAAAAGTGTCTAAATCTATGAGAATTAAGTGGCATATTCTTTTGAGGACTTTTGTACAAAAAAGGAGATCTAGGTACGCCTTTTGGAAAAAAAAACAATTTAAAATCGTCCACATCGGTTGCTTTCTTCGAGGGTGCGCACGAACATTTGTAAATCAACACCAAATTGTCTGAAATAGAATTTGTCAAAAGACACCCCTCTATGAGGATTTATTTCACGTGTACATATGTAATGGAATTGACGATTTATAGTACGTTTACATTGTACCGGATTTCGTTAACCCAGTGGGTTTCAATTGTCAATTCATTTGCACATATCTCAAATAAATCCTCATAAAGTAGATTAAACCGGTAAAAACTTCTAAGGTATATGTCGTTTTAGATCTAGTGAATTTAATCTGCTAAAATGTAAACGTACTATAACTCGATGTACGCACACGTCGGGATAATACTGAGTTGAGTTGTGAATATACGCCTGTATCTGCGCTCAAACCAATTGTCAAAAAGCAATTTTTGAACGCTTCGACGAAAATCGTTGACCTCTCATATTTTTCCGTTTTCGAAGTTCTCCGAAGATATGCGTCTGACGCAAATACTTGTTTAAACTGATGTGCGAGATCTTACTGGATACTTAGCTGTCTTGTGTCAGAACTTTTGTTCCATGAGCCGAGCCATGGTATAATAATAAAAGGTAACAGCAAGTGTTGTTGTACAAAAAACGATACAACAACCACATGGAAATTTGTTGTTGTAAGTTCTACTAGTGTCAACTCATTTGACAGAAAAATGTAAACAAACAAACAAATTATCATCAAATTATTTTTATTTTGAAAATGGAATATTTTCGAATCCTCAAAATAAAAATTGAAAAACATGAATGAAAATCTATCAAATTTATATTTCTATCGCTTCCACATCTTTCCTTTAATTGAGCCATTGCCATATATATGTGTAACACATATGACAATGCTGGGTATAGCGAGTTATTCCTTCAAGAAAGATTTGATCCCTCAAACTTTCCCAGCAGGCAGATTGAGTAAATTGAATACGGAAGCACATTAATAAAGAACAATTTCAAATTGTATGCGTTCCCAATTTTCCTGTTGGGTGGTTTTCAAAAACATAATTTGTCAAATTCATATTGACACTAGTATTACGTTGGAATCAAATCAGCTGGGATTTGCTGTTACCTTTTATAATTGTACCATGGAGCCGAGCTTAGAAAAGATTTCCAGGCGTGTCGGTCTTGTGCGCAGCTCATCCAATTTGAAGGAACATGTTCCGAAATGTTGTCTCCTAATAATTCACAGTCTACTGGACGTCTTGCACGCTGATACCATCAGCTTGGTCTTCTCGTCATTTACTGTCAGTCCCACTCTGGCAGACTCCTTCCCAATTCGTTCAAAGATGACTGTTACCGTTCGCAATGTTCGACCCATTTCATGTTTCGCAGTTGGTTCGAGTCTACTGGACGTCTTGCACGTTGATACCATCAGCTTGGTCTTCTCGCCATTTACTGTCAGTCCCACTCTGTCAGACTCCTTCTTAATTCGTTCAAAGAAGATTGTTACCGCTCGCAATGTTCGACCCATTATATCGATGTCGTTGGCGTATGCGAGTAACATATGCTGCTTGGTGTACAGAATGTCATTTTTGTTCACATTTGCATCTCGTCTGACCTTTTTCGGCGGGATGTTAAAAACAGTCACAAGGACAGTTTGCAGTGAAGGGCTCTGAGAGGCCCTTTCCGATTTAACTGCTGACCTTGTGCCAGTTAAAGTTGTCCTGCATTGCTGTTTTAAACACCTCTTAGCGGATTGGGCTGTCGAAAGTGGTTTTATAGTCCACGAATAGGTGGAATGTATGGATGTGTTTCACGTGGGTCTTTTCAGGATTTGGCGCTGTGTGAAAATTAGGTGTTAGTTGATTTGCCAGGTCTGCAGCCGCATTGATAAGATTCAATAATATCAATGAGCATTGGTTTTAGTAACTTAGTTCACAAAGGACGCTGGATCAAATTTTAACAATTTTACTCTTTAACAAAAACAACTTTATGTATATATTTATAAGTCTTAAAACCGTGCAAATTCAGACATGCATATAAGCTTTAAATACTTTATTGAGTTTAATATAAATAAACTATGAGAATCAGTTAGGCGCCATTTTTTACTAACATACCATCTTAGTTACTTCCTATTCAATTTTTTACCAAGTGCAAAAAAATTGACCGCGTAGCACCCCCTATCCTCATATTTTGCCGTTAACACGTGATGGATTCTGCACACATACATTAATATTATAAATATTAGCTTAACGAAACCAGTCATATGATCATTGTCTGGTCTAGCATTGCCTAGTTTAAAAAAACCGAGGAAGCTGAGTTTCATTTTTCATTTTATTAACGAAGTTTTCATTTCAATACGTTTTTTTGTTGTTGTTTTCGATCGAATGACTCGCATTAAGTTTTGAATTTCTCACCAGCACACTGCTGCTGCTGTATCATCATCAGCGTTTTGTTTTCATGCTGTGTATGTAGTTTTTTTTTTGTTCAATCGAAATTTATGTGGAAAAAAATCGACTGCAAATCAAAAACAAAAATAAACAAGTTATTGTGTGTTTTTTGTTGCTGTTGTTGGAAATCGAATCAAAATTCCAGGTATTTCAGCATATTACGGCATAATACCAACAACCAACCGACCTGTGTTGTTTCGGGGGATTTTTTTTTCGTTAGCTTTGTTGTTGCTGGCGTTTTGGTTGCGTTAAAAGCAAACAACAACACTCCCTTCAACACCACAATTCCCATCATTGCTGATAGATAATCAGTGTTCGTCTCCCCCAATAATGCACCCCATTCCTCCTCTTGACCAGTTTGTGGATTGTTTTGTTTTTTTTTCGGTTTTTGACAACACACCCAGAGTCAAGTTTGAAAGCTCGTTCGTTCGTTGCTCGCTTGAGTGTTCTCTCGATATCCCTCATTATAACGTGTGTTAAGTAATTATAACCAAGCCTTTGTAAGAAAAAGTGTTGCTAATTTAGCGGTTAATTTTAGTGAAATTAAAGTTTGTTTTATTGATAGTCGTTCTGTTAAAAACATATTTATAAAAGGAAAATCGAATTAAAATTCGATTTATAGAAAATTCTAATACGTTCTGTATGAGAGCAACTTTGGAACGAATAGAACGTTTACATTATAGCGGATTTCGTTAACCCAGTGAGTTTCAATTGTCAATTCCATTGTATAAATGCCAAATACATCCTCATAGAGTAGGTTAACCCGGTAAAAAGTTCTAATGTAAATACCGTTTAAAAGTGTTTTCCTAATCATTGTATCTTTTTCTCTTATCCAAAGTTTCCTATATCATGACGATAATATTTCATATAACAAACTTATTATGTAAACATAGTTTAACTATTTGCTTTGAAATGTAAACAAAAAGTTGGCATCACTTTAAATCACAAAAATACCATTATCTCCCAATTATCATTGAATGTAAAAGTTACACATTCGTATAAACTTGATATTACTCATATTTTGACAATTCATTTATTTGATGTTTCCCCCATCATTCGCATGGCTTTACTCTTTTCCCGCTCTTAACACGAATACCAACAAATCGTTAGCTAACATTGTGGCTCGCGTTGGCTTTATTTTCTCTCTCTCTCACACTCTTTGACTGCATTAAAGCACGAGTTCAATTAAAACATTGACTTTTTGGCAAAAACGATCATGTGATTTGCAAACAGAACGACAAAATGCAAAGCTCAAAGCCAAACAAAACTTTTGTAATTGACGTTCAATAATAGGTTCGTTCGTTTACTTTCCCAGTAATATTTACTCAGTAAGAATTTGCAGAGAGTAAATACGAATTTTTCCTTTTCAAGAGAGAAAACTGCAAAAAGTAAACGAACAACATCCAGTAAAAAGATTGTTTCGACACAGCTGATTAAAACAACAAACAAATTGGCTCAAACTAAAAAACAGCATTTTTATTAGAAAAAGGGATAACAAGCGGAAAATTGATGTTGTTTGTTCCCCACTACCATTTAAAAGTTTGTGACCTGTTATTCCTGTATCTGCAATTGATATTGGGGTGGACATAACCGATGGTGTTCCAGACATGTTAGGGATGCACACTTTTTTTTGGATTTGGAACCTAAAAAATCGTTCGCCAATTACTCTTGTATTACCTTATTTTTAAATACTTGCGTTTTCTTCATCCATTTTGGTATTTAATGATACAAAATCAAAATAAAATTCACAAAACAATCAATTTTCTTGAGAACAATTTTTTGTTTGTTTACAAAACATAACAAAACAGCTGATTAAATATCAGCTGATGGTACAAGAAAATTCTTACTGAGTAAATTTTCCTTGATTTGCAAATACTCAGTAACACAACTGTCAAATCTGCTCTCTCAATTCACTCTCTTTTACTGGACTTTTGCGTAAACGAACAACATTTTGTAATAATTTGTACAAATTCGTACAAATTATTGAGTAAACGAACGAACCTAATGGTATCTTTCTCGATATATTTCTCTCTCTCTCTCTCTCTCTCTCTCTCTTTGATTGAAAGAGAAGTCATCTCAATAACGTAATACATTATTTATTTACTTAAACTCGTTTTAAATTTGATGCGTGTGTGAGAGAGCCACATTGTGACAAAGTCATGTGATTTCGTACTTTAACAAATTCTAAATAAATAAAAGCCACAAACAAAATCTCGTGAAAAAAAATAACTTAATGCTAATAAATTTTCGACACTGATGGGCTTAAACATGTCAGCAGCACAATAATGAAACAGAAAAAAATATAACAGCCACCTTTTTTCCAACTAGCCTCCGCAGTAGTTAGTATTGGCTTAACTGTTACTGACAGTTGGGTCTTAACGTCAATTTATAACAGTTGAATTTTAGTGGAAAAAAAGAGATTTGTAATATTTTTGTTGTTGTTATTGGTGAAAGAGTTGTGTGGCTATCAAAGGTGAACATTTATTTTGATAAAATAGTTTTTTTCTTTTTATTTATTTTTGTATGCCTTGTGTAATGTCTAAATATTGATTAAAACCAAATCCAAATTCTATTTACATTGTGTCATTGACTTGACTGACTGGACATAGTGTCCCAGGTAAGGTGAAGACACATCTATTTGCGTGTCATATATAGACAATGATTGATGTGTAACGTCACCTGTCATGGCTAGCTGTCATTTGTCATCATAAATGACAATTAGTTTTATTTTGTTGGGCCCATTAAATTCATTTCAATATTTTGAAGTAATTAATTTGATTTCAAGTCTTAGTCTAGGCGCAACAAAATTTAAAAATTAAAAATAATCTGGAGTGCCCAAATCTCCATTATTTAATAAATATTACTTATTAAATTTAACTTATCACTAACCAGATTACAAGTTAAATATAGCGAATAAGAGGCAATGACAGCAAAGGCCTTCTCCTGCCGACTGATCTGCATATTCATTTCCTATAATGCCACAATGTCCAGGAATCCACATTAATTTTATTAAAGGGGAATAATTACGGAGAATCGTTCTAATATATTTAGGATAAAAAAATTATTGCTAACGAATCGGTTGACATGATATGATTTATATCTCCAGCAGAGTAGATAGCTTTACAGTGAGATAAAAAACTGCAACATCATTTTTACATTTTTTTTTTAAATTTTTTTGAATGAAAGCAAAAAATGTAGGAAATAGCATCAAATTTTAGAATAAGTTTAGATTTGTTCGAATTGGTCACCTTTGGCACGAATTATGGCCTTCAAACGGCCAATGAAATAGTCACACGATGCCCGAATGTTGCTCTGCGGAATTTTGCTTTCAGGTGATCGACACTTTGGTATTTTTTTAGTGCCAACCTTGCTTTCCAAAATACTCCACACACAATAGCCAAACGGATTGGTATCCGAGATTTTAGTGGCCATTGTGCGCTGGAAATAAAGCGAGGAACTTCATTTTGTAACCATTCGTGGGTGGGGCGTGCTGATTGCGATGGTGCTGAGTCCTGTTGGAATTTCCAAGTTCTGCGGCCAAAATGTTTGCGTACCCAAGGCTTTAATACACCCTCCAGAATATTTTCGCGATAATATTCGGCATTTATTTTAATACGAACGGAAAGCGACCATCAGCTGTTATGGCGACCCACACCATCACCATGGCCTGCGTTTGAGTGCTGGTGGCCAACCGAAGGTGCACATTTTCAGCTGACCTATTTGACAAGTAAACACGATAATTTTTTTTTTTTGGTTTACAAACTACTGGACAACAAATGTTTTCTCATCGGAGAAACCCAAATTCGGCAGTTCACCACTTACGGCCAAGCGCAGCAACTCTTTAGCTCTTTTGAGTCTATTTTTTCTGTTGCGGTGTAAGTTCTTGCACTTTTTGGAATTGCAATGGCTTTACCCCGATCTCATTTTTCAATATTTGCTGAATTAAATTTTGCGATATGTTTAGCTCACAAGCCATTTTCAATGGCTTTACCCCGAGCTTATTTTTCAATATTTGCCGAATGGAATATTTGATCAGCTCTCGAGCCATTTTTCGGCCACTGCGACGCGTTTCGATCAAGTCGCTTCTTTACTTTTCGAACCATTTCTGCTGATGTTGCTGTTTTTTAGTTGCCACTTTCATCGTGATGTTAATGAAAAATTATAGCCATTTTTAATTAAAAAATACTCGGTAAATATTAATTATCATATTGTTAATCTCTTGTCTGGTATTATTTATAGAAATATGAATTGAGCTCTTTGTCTTCTTTTTAATAACTTTTTTAATTTCTTTCTTAAATTCAACAGTTCTTATCGAATATAAAGCAATCCAACCAAATGTCACACTTCATTAAAAAAGAAGAAACTTATCTTTAACAAAAACAAAACCAATTCAATTCCAATCTTATCCCATAGAATAAATTAAAAAAATATATAAAAACAAACCTGATTTCCGATAATTTATGATTCACTTGTGCCACAGAATAATACTGACATTCGTTACAGGCACACAATTCTCTGGCTAGCAGCTTATCATGGGTTCATTTCACCCCACCCACTGATTAAAAAGTGTGTATCATTTCTTTTGTTACGTTCATATTTTCTAATTTTGATTTTGACATTGTCGGCCATAATATTTTTCATTTTTTTAGATTTTAATTAGTGATAGTACGATTAAATTGTTCCCAATATATATACATATAAATATAGTGAAGTGGTCAAATCGATCGGACTTTCCATCAATAGTTTTGTGGTATTTATAAGGAAATTGTTTTTGTTTTCTTTCAAACTATTTGTTTTCTTCTTCGCTTAATAAAAAGTGATTTATAACGACTTAATGGATTGAGTTTCTTCATGGTAAACAATTATAGAAAGGGTTTGTTATTTTTTTTTCAACTCAGAGCAAATGTTGAGCATTTTGGGAAGACTAGAACCAGAAAAAATCTGAGCAAATTTCATACATTCCTGAAATTTTCACCTGGGATAACTAAACGCTTCGCTTCCATCTCCTCATGCTAATGTTTTGAAAACAAACAGAACAGAAATTAAGAAGGTTCCGATTCATTACTCTGATAAAGTACATTAAATTTATCTGTTATTGAAATATTCTAAAAAAATGTTTAAATGTCGTCTTTCTTCCAATGCCTTCTCTGCATATCATAGTTAAGCTTCAAACTCGTGTAAACAGCAAAATTTATTGAAAAAACCTTTTGAAGATTTTATTGATGCCGTGTATATAGGAATCAAACTCGAATCTGACAATATTCCTCTCCAATTCTTCCTCTGTTGCTGTCATCTGCATAAATAACAAAAAATAAATATAATAACAAAAAAATTCCAAAAATATTACTTCTTAGCAAAAATAATATTGCTAAATTACTTGTTAAAATTTTTAATACAATGATTATTGATGAAAAATACCCATATAGCCTTAAAATATTTGCACTATTCTGCCGATTCCCAAAAAACTAAACCCCAAAAGTTTAACAGATTATAGAGTTTTTTTCTGATTTCTTCACCAATATGGTGAAATTGGTGATGCAAATTGCAATTATTTGCCTGTTAATTGCGGGGGTTCCCCAAGGTAGTGAGTTAGACCCTCTTTTATTTAAAATATATATTAACGATCTAAAACATTTAAATTTTTCTGGTAAATTCTTATTTGCTGATGACATATGTTTGTTGTACGAATATAAGTACGAAAACGTCTTACAAACTCAAGCGGAGTATGATTCTGCAATTTTAGCCGAATTTGCTAGGAATAAGACCGAATAAGACCAAATTCATTAGGTTTCATGTGGAAGGAACACGAATTGTTGAATCGCCTTACAATGGAACCTGCATATCAACCTCACACAAAATAAAGTGTTTGCTGCTACAGGAATATTGTATAAATTCAAATCCAAATTTGACGCAGAAACCAAAGCACTAATATATCAAACGCTTGTTCATTCCCAATTGACATATCTTCCCATTACCTATGGATTTAAATTCAGCAGCTCTTTTAAAATTCTGCAGAAATCTTAAAATAAAGCCAAAAAAGTAGTTTACAACCCACCACGTAGATTCCTAACACTAGAACTTTTCAAATACAAAGCAGTAAATGTATAACCTTTACGAGGATTATATAAACATCAGATTTTAATGGTAATGTTTAAAAATTTAAAATGCATAGGTCTTTCGACAATATCTTTTAGACAAAATAGAGAAATTACTGGTAGAAACAATAGGCATGCATCAGACCTGGAAGTAGCTAGATGTCGAGTTGAAGTAACAAAACAAAGAATAAAATACGCTGGACCAATGGAATATAATCAGTTATCAGACGATTTGAAACCCGTTATACAAATATCAATATTTAAAAAACGCATTAAAGCTTGTCTTTTGTAGAATATTGAAAATCTTTTGTACAATTAATTTGATATTAACTATCTATAATAAGAATTAGAATATCATAAACTGTATAGTTGCCATTAGGCTCAATTTTGCCAAATATGACGCGGATGTATTAAATAATTATTGATAAATACTAAAAAATACATGTATGATTTTTAATATGTCGCTAAAAATCTTAATGTTAATGCCAGGGGCATATAGATTCCCTCATATTAGCATTGGCCTTTTCTATTAATGAGGTGACTAGTTCAAGCAAATAATCAAAATCTTCTGGTGACACTCGTACAAAGCTTTTGTATAGCTCGGGATCATTCCGTTTTGAATTGTTCCCTAAAAGAAATATACACACCATCACCTCCCAAAAGAAATTTGTTATCAGCTACTTCTTCGTCCATAATTATTAATACTAAACTATTTCTCAAAATAATCAAAACAGCTGCTCAAAGTCAATATTTTCAATATAAAAAATTAACAAGAGTGTAAATTAGCTTCAAAATATTTTGATCCAAATTTGATCAAAATATTTTTAAATTTTTTCAAAATTTTTATAAGACTTCGAAATGCCTTCAATCGTGTAAATAAAGCTTAAATCTTTAGAAAGAAAGCCTGAAATTCATTGAAATTTCCCAATTTAATTTTATCACTATGTTTTCATTTCAAGACACCCTTTCCCACCCCTTTCCACTTCAAACAATAAAACGAAGCGAAAACAAAAAACTAGAACCCAAACACTGAACTGAACATAATTGAAAGCCGACCGATGATATTCTGCTTGTTCTCAATTAAATGCTAGAAAATTGGAATTTTATTGAAGTTTTATATATGTATGTATTTTGCTGTTGTTGTTATAGTCGTACTTGTACGTACATACATAAAACCCCGAACCGACTATACACTGAATGACAAATTAATTTTTATTATTTTAAAAATATTCTATTGTGTGTTTGTTTGTTATGTGTTATTGAGGTTTATAGACAAATGTATGTTTGTAGTAATTGCTGGGTAAAACAATGATAGCAAGCAAATGTAAAAAAAAAAAAAACAAAAAACACTCAAAGAAAAATATCAGTTGAAATAGATTTAAGCAAGAAGCTGTGTGGAGATTTGAAAATAATTAAAAAGTTCTGGAATTTTAAGTGAGTTATTTATACTCATTCGAGTCGAGCTTAATGATCTAAGTTTTGCAATGAAAAGGAAAGCCAGGAGAAGAACCTACGTACCCACCATTATGCGACGCGTTGCGCCGTTGGTTAAGCGGCGTATTGGACTATATGGCTTTACAAAGGTCGTATGTTACTTTGCATATGTGAATTAAATTCAAATTTGTCAAGGTTCGACATTTGTCTTCATTCTAGAAACAGTCCTTTTCAAAGCAGATTTTTATTGTAGCGATGGATAATTTATCCACAACATCTACAATTGCTTCCATGGTATACATATGTTTTTCGCAACCTTTTTAGGAAGTGTGTTGTTGGCTCAGAACGTTAAGTGGTCTGATTAATGACAGAACATTTGTGGCATAAGCCGAGCTTAAAAAAGATTTCAAGGCGCGTCGGTCTTCCAATTTGAAAATCCATTTTCGAAAATGTTGTATTCCACTTGATCTTTCCATCGAATTCGCGGCCTTACTTCTCTGGTTTGTGACAGAACATTTGTTGCATAAGTCGAGCTTATATAATATTTCCAGGCGCGTCAGTCTTTTGCGCAGGTCTTCCAATTTGAAAAACCATGTTCGGAAATATTGCTTTCCATTTGATATTTCCATCGAATTCGCGGCCTCACTCTGGAAGGTAGTCTTTGGAACCCAAGTTTTCATTTTGTTGCAGTTTGTAGGCAATTCTTTGCTATTGTGCTTCTATATTATTATCGGACAAGTAGTGCTTTCGTCCAGCAGGTGGATGAGTTGAGCGGAATTTGCTACCTGTTGTGTTAGCAGCTTTTCAACGTCGAGTTTCCGTGTTGTGTTAGATCGAACCTTTGCTGCAACATTAAGACGAATGCGAACCTTGGCTGCTATAAAATAATCCTCCGAATCGATATTCGATCCTCGGATCAATCGAACGTCTAAAACACTGGATGAATGCCTTTCGTCTATCACAACATGATCAGTTTGATTTATCTTTCCTTGATCAAGAGAAATCCAGATGGCCTCGGGTATATCGAGATGCTTGAATCTGGTCAATCAGTTTTATGCTGTTGTCGGATGTTTCTTTATGGAGGCTGAATTTGTTCAATCATATTTCCCTTCCGATTTTTGCATTAAAATCTCCTAGCAGAATTTTAATGTCATGGCCAGGGCAGTGGTCATATGACCACTGTTTCTAGGCGTTCGTAAAATATGTCTTTGGTCTGCTCAGTTTTGTCATCCGTCGGAACATGGACGTAAATAAGACTGATGTAGAAGAGCTTCGCTTTTATACGAATTATATCAATTTTCTCATCTACTGGAGTGAATCTGGAGACGGATGTCAGTGTCCACAATTGAGATGAAAGTGGGGCCAAGATAAGCCTGGGCTTTGCCATCAAAGCCGTTGCTTTTACTTTCAAAATAAACGACTCATATAGAACATCGGTGGGAGAT